TCTCTCCTCAGATCAGGGTTGTGATGATTCCTGTCTGGAGGACTGGATCTTCAGGACCCCCCAGGTGTCTTTGTACCTGGAGATGCTGGTATCTGAGGGTCTGGATGTGTCACTCAGTGGCCGGCCGGCCCCCACCCTGCTGCCCCCCTGCAGGGACACTCCTTGGAAAGATCTCAGGTGTCTGCTGGACCTGCCCTCCCTCATGTTCCTGGCACCACAGGTCAGAATACTACTGATTCAGAATCATTATGAACAACATTTGTGTATCACTTTTCCTTTGGTTTGATAAAACGTGTTTGTGAGTGTGTGTTATTGTGTGTGTGTGTGTGTGTGTTAGGGCTGTACCCGAATATCCGAATATTCGGTCGTTGGCCTAGTATTCGGTTTTCAATTTCGTTATTCGGATATTCGTTTTTCTTTTTGGCAGCTGCACTGCGGCCAATTTGACCTTATTGAAAGCTCCCATATCAACGTAAGAGTTTGTGCCTCTTAGGGGGGTGCTAACACTTAACCATAAACGTTATCGTTTACGTTCTCCGTCTTTATATGTAGGCTAGATATTACTTTTCTCCGTCACGTTGTTTCCATAGCAACAACAACTTTCTGTCAACAGCGCTAACTCTCCTTCAAAATAAAAGCATGTCCAGACAAAATAGGAAGCCAAGCCAAATTACACTTAAGACAACTGCAACAAAAGTAACAAACACAATGCTGCTCCTAACACTAGGATGGGTAAAATGCAGAGAAACCGTTTTGTTACTAGTACCTGTACTATGAACGAATCCCTTGAATAAACCGAAAAACACGCGTTGAAGTGGTCGCTAAACCCCCCTCGCACGCCGAATATCCGGTCATTACGTTTCCCTGTACTTCACACAGTAGCATTTTTAGTTTTGGGTTAGTCTTAGAATTGAGGTAAGATAACATGAGTAAACATTTACTACTGTATGTTCGACAAAATGAACAGCTCCCTAGATCATTGGTTCCCAATGCTGGGGTGAGCCCCTCCAGGGGGTCACATTGTAACGATCAACTATCTAAAATAGTTCTGTTAATTAAACGCACAAGGGGTTCTTGAATGAAATAATATTATAAAGGCAAACCAGAATTGTTAACGCCCAATCTACTCCTTAAACAAAATAAACAGAGACAGATTTCATGCATGGATCCATTATATTGACAGTTTTCCTGCCAAACAACATAAACAAAATTAAACAGTCCGCTCTGCGATACACCAAAATTGTCTTTACTGCCTAATCCAGGCTATTGTTGTTCATTGCTCCTGCGCCCGTCGGCGGCAAAAACAGAAATGTTTGTAGGCCTTTTCAGGCTATAATCCACACAAAAAAGGAAACACGAGGTCCAGCGTGTCCCAGAGGAGCCATCTCACCCGGGGTTGTAGAGAATATCTCTCTCTTTGAGCGCGTCCTCTCCACGGAGACGTGCTTCTTGGTCGGTCGATGCAATATCCACAGATTCGGTTTTCCATTAACTTCCCCGTTGCACTTAACCATATATTTACATGCTGAGGAAATTACAATATCCCGCTGAATACCAGCAATCGCCACACACACACTTCCTCCTCCCGTGAGAACCACCCCCCGGCATCCTGTTGACGCGCCCACTAAAAAGCCTCAGGGCGCGCCGCGACAGGTGAATATGCAGATGAGGCTTGCAGAACCACACCCTCAAACCTTACAACTGTAGTTGCGAGGATAATACACATGTATCATAGATTTCATTTCATTTCAATATAAACCACATACCTTAACCTTTTCCCCTGCCACTACAGTTTATAAGAAACACTTAGATCAATCTGCGACTGTCACAACATGACACACAATAACCGTTACACTGTGTGCTACACAGTGTAACACACAGTGTAGCACATTGTAACACTTTGTAACACATTGTTCAAATCAGCAGCTTTGTGCTAAACAGTGTCATTTGTCCACGGAAATATACAAATATGAGATTGGGTTGTTGCATGTATAACACACAGTGTAAATATTGTTTTTACTGGTGTACATCTGATAACATATGTAAATGTATATGTACAATATTTATGCAGTGAAAGCCAATACCCCTACACCATTAACCACTGTCATTCTTAATTCTTGATAGCGCAAAGTTCAAAATACATTTGTTTTGTTTCTATAACAGGAACTAAGAGCGTTTGGTGTCATTAACAGTAAAGCCAGCGAGAGGAGGAACAGTCGTTTGATAACCACCCACCTGATAGTTTTATTATAACTCCTGACACTTCATCAGACGTCACTATCACACAGGGGCACATTCATAATCAGGTCATAATAAGATCATATTTCTTCCATGACACAAGTTCGTATATTTCCAGCATTTTTTTTTACGTCTATAATGCAACTTCTGTACTTATGTAGCGCGTGATCTGGTCTTTTCAACCCCTCAAAGCCCTTTACATACTACAAGTCATTCACGCATTGAAACCTCATCCATACAGAGCATTGCCACACACACACACACACACACACACACACACACACACACACACACACACACACACACACACACACACACACACACACACACACACACACACACACACACACACACCGTTGGCCATCGGGAGCCACTCAGTATCTTGCCCAAGGACACATCCACATGTTGCCTGCCGGGATCGAACCCACAACCTGCTGGTTGAAAGACGACTGCACTCCCTCACAGCCACAGTCAGCCCTTTAGTTGATTTCACTATAACGCCATAATCAAAGGTTGACAGAGTCATTTGGATTAACAACGGCCACATGTGATGTTCTGTAATATATCTTCATGTTAAAGGAATAGTTCTAATAGTTTGAATTAGAATTTGATGTTATACTTTTCCACAGACAGTGAGCCGGTAGGTCGCCGGTTCAAATCCCGAAATGACCAACTTCTGCTGAGGTGCCCCTGAGCAGAGCACCTACACGTGCATAGTGGCTCCCCACTGCTCCTAATTATTGGATGGGTCAAATGCAGAGCCTTTATTTATGAGGCAGCAGGGGCTCAGTATGTAGGGAGTTGGCCTGGGAACCAGTTTGAGCCCCGATCGGACCAAACATAAGGAGCGTGGACAGAGTGGAAAAGTGAATTTCCCCAGGGGGATCAATAAAGGTTGATCTTACCTGACGCAGCAGTCTGACGACGCAGCAGTCTGACGACGCAGCAGTCTGACGACGCAGCAGTCTGACGACGCAGCAGTCTGACGCAGCAGTCTGACGACGCAGCAGTCTGACGACGCAGCAGTCTGACGACGCAGCAGTCTGACGACGCAGCAGTCTGACGACGCAGCAGTCTGACGACGCAGCAGTCTGACGCAGCAGTCTGACGACGCAGCAGTCTGACGACGCAGCAGTCTGACGACGCAGCAGTCTGACGCAGCAGTCTGACGACGCAGCAGACTGACGCAGCAGCAGACTGACGACGCAGCAGTCTGACGACGCAGCAGACTGACGACGCAGCAGTCTGACGCAGCAGCAGTCTGACGCAGCAGCAGTCTGACGCAGCAGCAGACTGACGCAGCAGCAGACTGACGACGCAGCAGTCTGACGCAGCAGCAGTCTGACGCAGCAGCAGTCTGACGCAGCAGACTGACGCAGCAGCAGACTGACAACGCAGCAGTCTGACGACGCAGCAGTCTGACGACGCAGCAGTCTGACGACGCAGCAGACTGACGCAGCAGCAGACTGACGACGCAGCAGTCTGACGACGCAGCAGACTGACGACGCAGCAGTCTGACGACGCAGCAGACTGACGACGCAGCAGACTGACGACGCAGCAGAATGACGACGCAGCAGAATGACGACGCAGCAGTCTGACGACGCAGCAGACTGACGACGCAGCAGTCTGACGACGCAGCAGTCTGACGACGCAGCAGAATGACGACGCAGCAGTCTGACGACGCAGCAGTCTGACGACGCAGCAGTCTGACGACGCAGCAGTCTGACGACGCAGCAGTCTGACGACGCAGCAGTCTGACGACGCAGCAGTCTGACGACGCAGCAGAATGACGACGCAGCAGAATGACGACGCAGCAGTCTGACGACGCAGCAGTCTGACGACGCAGCAGCTGACGACGCAGCAGAATGACGACGCAGCAGTCTGACGACGCAGCAGAATGACGACGCAGCAGTCTGACGACGCAGCAGACTGACGACGCAGCAGACTGACGACGCAGCAGACTGACGACGCAGCAGACTGACGACGCAGCAGACTGACGACGCAGCAGAATGACGACGCAGCAGACTGACGACGCAGCAGTCTGACGACGCAGCAGAATGACGACGCAGCAGAATGACGACGCAGCAGACTGACGACGCAGCAGAATGACGACGCAGCAGTCTGACGACGCAGCAGAATGACGACGCAGCAGACTGACGACGCAGCAGTCTGACGACGCAGCAGAATGACGACGCAGCAGACTGACGACGCAGCAGACTGACGACGCAGCAGTCTGACGACGCAGCAGAATGACGACGCAGCAGTCTGACGACGCAGCAGTCTGACGACGCAGCAGACTGACGACGCAGCAGTCTGACGACGCAGCAGAATGACGACGCAGCAGACTGACGACGCAGCAGACTGACGACGCAGCAGTCTGACGACGCAGCAGAATGACGACGCAGCAGACTGACGACGTAGCAGACTGACGACGCAGCAGACTGACGACGCAGCAGACTGACGACGCAGCTGAATGACGACGCAGCAGTCTGACGACGCAGCAGAATGACGACGCAGCAGACTGACGACGCAGCAGACTGACGACGCAGCAGTCTGACGACGCAGCTGAATGACGACGCAGCAGAATGACGACGCAGCAGACTGACGACGCAGCTGAATGACGACGCAGCAGACTGACGCGGCAGCAGTCTGACGACGCAGCAGAATGACGACGCAGCAGACTGACGCCGCAGCAGACTGACGACGCAGCAGTCTGACGACGCAGCAGAATGACGACGCAGCAGACTGACGACGCAGCAGACTGACGACGCAGCAGTCTGACGACGCAGCAGAATGACGACGCAGCAGACTGACGACGCAGCTGAATGACGACGCAGCAGTCCTGACGACGCAGCTGAATGACGACGCAGCAGTCTGACGACGCAGCTGAATGACGACGCAGCAGAATGACGACGCAGCAGACTGACGACGCAGCTGAATGACGACGCAGCAGTCTGACGACGCAGCTGAATGACGACGCAGCAGACTGACGACGCAGCTGAATGACGACGCAGCAGACTGACGCGGCAGCAGTCTGACGACGCAGCAGAATGACGACGCAGCAGACTGACGCCGCAGCAGACTGACGACGCAGCAGTCTGACGACGCAGCAGAATGACGACGCAGCAGACTGACGACGCAGCAGACTGACGACGCAGCAGTCTGACGACGCAGCAGAATGACGACGCAGCAGACTGACGACGCAGCTGAATGACGACGCAGCAGTCTGACGACGCAGCAGAATGACGACGCAGCAGACTGACGACGCAGCTGAATGACGACGCAGCAGACTGACGCGGCAGCAGTCTGACGACGCAGCAGTCTGACGACGCAGCTGAATGACGACGCAGCAGTCTGACGACGCAGCTGAATGACGACGCAGCAGTCTGACGACGCAGCAGAATGACGACGCAGCAGACTGACGACGCAGCAGACTGACGACGCAGCAGACTGACGCGGCAGCAGTCTGACGACGCAGCAGTCTGACGACGCAGCAGTCTGACGACGCAGCAGAATGACGACGCAGCAGTCTGACGACGCAGCAGACTGACGACGCAGCAGACTGACGACGCAGCAGTCTGACGACGCAGCAGTCTGACGACGCAGCAGTCTGACGACGCAGCAGTCTGACGACGCAGCAGTCTGACGACGCAGCAGTCTGACGACGCAGCAGAATGACGACGCAGCAGTCTGACGACGCAGCAGAATGACGACGCAGCAGTCTGACGACGCAGCAGAATGACGACGCAGCAGTCTGACGACGCAGCAGTCTGACGACGCAGCAGTCTGACGACGCAGCAGTCTGACGACGCAGCAGTCTGACGACGCAGCAGTCTGACGACGCAGCAGTCTGACGACGCAGCAGAATGACGACGCAGCAGTCTGACGACGCAGCAGAATGACGACGCAGCAGACTGACGACGCAGCAGTCTGACGACGCAGCAGTCTGACGACGCAGCAGAATGACGACGCAAGCAGTCTGACGACGCAGCAGAATGACGACGCAGCAGTCTGACGACGCAGCAGAATGACGACGCAGCAGACTGACGACGCAGCAGTCTGACGACGCAGCAGAATGACGACGCAGCAGTCTGACGACGCAGCAGAATGACGACGCAGCAGTCTGACGACGCAGCAGAATGACGACGCAGCAGACTGACGACGCAGCAGTCTGACGACGCAGCAGAATGACGACGCAGCAGAATGACGACGCAGCAGAATGACGACGCAGCAGACTGACGACGCAGCAGTCTGACGACGCAGCAGAATGACGACGCAGCAGAATGACGACGCAGCAGAATGACGACGCAGCAGACTGACGACGCAGCAGTCTGACGACGCAGCAGTCTGACGACGCAGCAGAATGACGACGCAGCAGAATGACGACGCAGCAGACTGACGACGCAGCAGACTGACGACGCAGCAGAATGACGACGCAGCAGACTGACGACGCAGCAGACTGACGACGCAGCAGTCTGACGACGCAGCAGAATGACGACGCAGCAGAATGACGACGCAGCAGACTGACGACGCAGCAGACTGACGACGCAGCAGAATGACGACGCAGCAGAATGACGACGCAGCAGACTGACGACGCAGCAGTCTGACGACGCAGCAGACTGACGACGCAGCAGAATGACGACGCAGCAGAATGACGACGCAGCAGTCTGACGACGCAGCAGAATGACGACGCAGCAGACTGACGACGCAGCAGACTGACGACGCAGCAGAATGACGACGCAGCAGAATGACGACGCAGCAGTCTGACGACGCAGCAGAATGACGACGCAGCAGCCTGACGACGCAGCAGAATGACGACGCAGCAGAATGACGACGCAGCAGACTGACGACGCAGCAGTCTGACGACGCAGCAGACTAACGACGCAGCAGACTGACGACGCAGCAGACTGACGACGCAGCAGACTGACGACGCAGCAGACTGACGACGCAGCAGAATGACGACGCAGCAGAATGACGACGCAGCAGAATGACGACGCAGCAGAATGACGACGCAGCAGACTGACGACGCAGCAGAATGACGACGCAGCAGTCTGACGACGCAGCAGACTGACGACGCAGCAGCAGTCTGACGACGCAGCAGTCTGACGACGCAGCTGTCTGACGACGCAGCAGACTGACGACGCAGCAGCAGTCTGACGACGCAGCAGTCTGACGACGCAGCTGTCTGACGACGCAGCAGTCTGACGACGCAGCAGACTGACGACGGCAGCAGCAGTCTGACGACGCAGCAGTCTGACGACGCAGCAGTCTGACGACGCAGCAGCAGTCTGACGACGCAGCAGTCTGACGACGCAGCAGTCTGACGACGCAGCAGTCTGACGACGCAGCAGCAGTCTGACGACGCAGCTGTCTGACGACGCAGCAGCAGTCTGACGACGCAGCTGTCTGACGACGCAGCAGCAGACTGACGACGCAGCAGTCTGACGACGCAGCAGAATGACGACGCAGCAGTCTGACGACGCAGCAGAATGACGACGCAGCAGTCTGACGACGCAGCAGACTGACGACGCAGCAGTCTGACGACGCAGCAGACTGACGACGCAGCAGAATGACGACGCAGCAGTCTGACGACGCAGCAGACTGACGACGCAGCAGTCTGACGACGCAGCAGACTGACGACGCAGCTGTCTGACGACGCAGCAGACTGACGACGCAGCTGACTGACGACGCAGCAGTCTGACGACGCAGCAGACTGACGACGCAGCAGACTGACGACGCAGCAGTCTGACGACGCAGCAGACTGACGACGCAGCAGAATGACGACGCAGCAGACTGACGACGCAGCAGACTGACGACGCAGCAGAATGACGACGCAGCAGAATGACGACGCAGCAGACTGACGACGCAGCAGACTGACGACGCAGCAGTCTGACGACGCAGCAGACTGACGACGCAGCAGTCTGACGACGCAGCAGACTGACGACGCAGCAGACTGACGACGCAGCAGACTGACGACGCAGCAGACTGACGACGCAGCAGAATGACGACGCAGCAGAATGACGACGCAGCAGACTGACGACGCAGCAGTCTGACGACGCAGCAGACTGACGACGCAGCAGAATGACGACGCAGCAGAATGACGACGCAGCAGACTGACGACGCAGCAGTCTGACGACGCAGCATACTGACGACGCAGCAGTCTGACGACGCAGCAGAATGACGACGCAGCATACTGACGACGCAGCAGTCTGACGACGCAGCAGAATGACGACGCAGCAGAATGACGACGCAGCAGAATGACGACGCAGCAGTCTGACGACGCAGCAGTCTGACGACGCAGCAGACTGACGACGCAGCAGAATGACGACGCAGCAGACTGACGACGCAGCAGAATGACGACGCAGCAGAATGACGACGCAGCAGACTGACGACGCAGCAGACTGACGACGCAGCTGTCTGACGACGCAGCAGACTGACGACGCAGCAGACTGACGACGCAGCAGACTGACGACGCAGCAGTCTGACGACGCAGCAGACTGACGACGCAGCAGACTGACGACGCAGCAGTCTGACGACGCAGCAGAATGACGACGCAGCAGTCTGACGACGCAGCAGACTGACGACGCAGCAGACTGACGACGCAGCAGTCTGACGACGCAGCAGACTGACGACGCAGCAGACTGACGACGCAGCAGACTGACGACGCAGCAGACTGACGACGCAGCTGTCTGACGACGCAGCAGAATGACGACGCAGCAGACTGACGACGCAGCTGTCTGACGACGCAGCAGACTGACGACGCAGCAGACTGACGACGCAGCAGACTGACGACGCAGCAGTCTGACGACGCAGCTGTCTGACGACGCAGCAGACTGACGACGCAGCAGACTGACGACGCAGCAGTCTGACGACGCAGCAGACTGACGACGCAGCAGACTGACGACGCAGCAGAATGACGACGCAGCAGACTGACGACGCAGCAGTCTGACGACGCAGCAGCAGTCTGACGACGCAGCAGACTGACGCAGCAGCAGACTGACGACGCAGCAGACTGACGACGCAGCAGTCTGACGCAGCAGCAGTCTGACGACGCAGCAGTCTGACGACGCAGCAGACTGACGCAGCAGCAGTCTGACGACGCAGCAGACTGACGACGCAGCAGTCTGACGCAGCAGCTGTCTGACGCAGCAGTCTGACGACGCAGCAGCAGACTGACAACGCAGCAGTCTGACGCAGACGCAGTCTGACGCAGCTGTCTGACGACGCAGCAGTCTGACGCAGCTGTCTGACGCAGCAGCAGTCTGACGACGCAGCAGTCTGACGACGCAGTCTGACGCAGCAGTCTGACGCAGCAGCAGTCTGACAGAGCAGTCTGACGACGCAGCTGTCTGACGCAGCAGCAGTCTGACGACGCAGCAGTCTGACGACGCAGTCTGACAGAGCAGTCTGACGACGCAGCTGTCTGACGACGCAGCTGTCTGACGACGCAGTCTGACGACGCAGTCTGACAGAGCAGTCTGACGACGCGGCAGACAGGAACCGGCAGAAAGCTGAGTAATGTGCTGCTGTGGAGGGGGCGGCAGCAAACGTGTTTTGGACAATAATGAAAAGGCCTACCTAAAAAATCGATATATATATATATATCGGATTCACCAGCAAATACATTTTCATTCATTCTTATCCCTGTGTTATCATCTCTCCAGTTGCCGGACAGCTACAACGCCCCCTGGAGACTGGTGTTCTCCACACAGCTGCACGGAGAGAGCTTCTCCAGGATGGTGACCGGTCTGACCAAGTGTGGCCCCACCCTGCTGCTCATCAGAGACACAAAGGGCCACATCTTCGGGGGCTTTGCCTCCCACGCCTGGGAGCTCAGACCTAAGTTCCAGGGTGAGAGAAGACCCACAGCACTCCCTTGTTGTTGTGAGACTGAGATGATCTGTGCTATGTGATGGAGCATGTCTTCTCTATCAGCTGCCTTCACAGTGTTATGGAGAACACAACACATCAGCATTCTCTCTCACTTCAGCAAGTAGACCAATACTACACAGTGTAGCATCTTAAATACTATACTAGATAATCTACCTCTAAGTATTGTCATTATTTATAGAACTGCCATGTAACAGTCAATTGAGCTCATCCTAGCATAAGCTATAGTTATACAACAGCTAACCAGCTTGAAATGTTTTATTATTTTGTCTTTATTAAACAAAGACTTCAAAATCCATTCATCTCAAAAAGAGAAGAGATGATTTCTGCCAGATTTAGCTTTTATCTTATATACATCCAACCTTGCCGATTGTACAGTATATAAGCAACTTAAGGTGCACCACCATCCTTTAGCTAAAGTGTGAAGTCATTATTACTCAGTAGTTTGCTGGATTGAAAGTCATTTGAAGCTGAAGTTTAGAGTTGATTATATTGTAATGATCAGGTGAATGCTCATACAGTGTGTCTCTAAGTGTTTGCCACCATGGTTACGTGACATCATGAAGCTACTTTAGGATTCAAAAACAATCTCCAAGCTTCACTCATACACTTTGTCTTGGAGTGTCCTTGCATCACCATTATTTTTGTAAATAATTATAATCAGTTTTATTATGTATCATTAGGCCAGTGCACACATTATCAGTGCACTTAGGCGCTTGGGAATGTTATTAGTTAAACCTCTATCTGTCAATCAAAATGTCTGCCATAAAAAAAATGTACATGTCCAAGTTTTCACATTCTGCATACTAACAAGTGGTACCTCATGTCAGTGTTTAGAGCACCTGTAAGGACTTTGGGCCAGCAGGTTCCACAGTGGCAGAGGCATCTGGGCTGAGGCTAGCATCTGTAACCCTACTGGGGGACATTTTGATGTTGCCTGCCATGGGCACTATTTCAGTAGCTGAAAATCAGGAACGTGCAGAATCACAAAGTGTGTTGCTGTTCCTCTTTTTCTTATGTTGGGACAAACGATTGAAATGTACACACAACCAAAATACTTTTGAATGATCACTGATCTGATTTTATTTAGATGTAGTTACAGTTGCTCCTTTTAAGAATGAATTTACAGATACATTTAAAACAAACTGAATAAAGATATTTACATAAACATAAGAAGTCAAAGTAAGAATGTGCAAGAAAAAGATAAATAGAATAAAGATATGTTTATTAAGATTTGATTTATACCAGTTTATTCAGGCTTCCATGATGCTGTGTAGGAGCGGTGCTCTTCTGTCGGTGCGGAGCAGACGCAGCTCACACGTGTGTGTGTGTGTGTGTGTGTGTGTGTGTGTGTGTGTGTGTGTGTGTGTGTGTGTGTGTGTGTGTGTGTGTGTGTGTGTGTGTGTGTGTGTGTGTAGGTGACTCTAGATGCTTCCTGTTCACTGTGTTCCCCAGACTGAGAGTTTACACAGCAACAGGATACAACGAGCACTTCATGTACCTGAACCAGAACCAGCAGACCATGCCCAACGGACTGGTGAGTCTGCACCGTTTAAAACTCAGTCCCTGAAATTACATGTTACTTGTTAGACGCTTTTATCCAAAGCGACTTCCATACTCAGTACTGTGGACAATCCCCACAGGAGCACTTTGGGGTGAAGTGTCTCAGGGACACAACGACATGCTGACTGCAGTGGGGTTTGAACCTGTGACCCCTGATCCCAACACCAATGCACTAACCACTGCGCCACAGCCTCCTTCCCACTTACCAAGTCAATATTATTAACCTTTATGTTTTTTCTTTGAGGATGGCCACTGTCCGTTGTTATAACATAATGATGGAACTTCTTTCAGTTTGGAACAAAGCATCCTTTGACTAAAGGATGAACTGATTCATACTTGGTGGTCAAAGCTCTCCTTTATTGTGATGAGTACAATAGAGTGTTATTTATCACAGTAGCTATTGTTTAAATCCACACCAACAACAGGACCCCTAAAGAGCCAGAGTCCGAACTAAACATGGAGAAGTTCACTTATTGTGCTCCAAACATCTGGAACAAGCTCCCAGAAACCTGCCGGTCCTTTTATAATGTGAATCCGCTGCACTCTTTCTTAATGCTCTTTAGCGCTTTGAATTGCCTTGTGTTGAAAGTTGCTATATAAATAACCGTGCCTTGCCTGAAAGCCAGTAAGGAGAGATTTGATTTGATATACTTTATTAATCCCTCGTGGGGAAATTGTGTCTCTGCATTTGACCCATCCTAGTGTTAGGAGCAGTGTGCTGCCATTTGGAACGGCGCCCGGGGAGCAGTGTAGGGAACGGTGCCTTGCTCAGGGACACCTCGGTAGCACTTGGTCTTGCCGGGACTTGAACTGGTGACCTTCCAGTTACCAAGCCAAGTCCCTATCGACTTCGCCACCACCGCCCCAAAGAGGGCTGACCCGTTTCATAACAGATCTCATCCCTTGTGGAGTTGATGATTGTAGTGATCCACCTGCACAGAGTCTCTGATCGGGTGTTTTCTGCCAACACCAAACTGCACACAGACACAGGTTGAGGATATCTTTTGAAACTGTGCCAGCAGTACGGTGAACACAATACTATGAGTGCTTTTTGTTTCCCAAAAATAAATAGATCAATGAATGTTTATCTCTTAATAAGTGGTATTCATGTTTACTGTACTTTCATGATCACCAGTTAAAGAGTACATGTTGACATGAGAATGCTCATGTTTTCATTGAACTTTGATGTAATACAATATTGGCAGATGAATTTAGGCAACTCTAGGAGAGAAGGAAAAACACTTAAAGACAGATCATGTTTTTATTTTCTAATGCTTCATGTGGTCTCTCTCAGGGTATGGGGGGCCAGCACGGGTACTTCGGCTTGTGGCTGGACAGTGATTTTGGCCGCGGTCACAGCCGTGCACGGCCCAGGTGCACCACCTACGGCAGCCCCCAGCTGTCTGAGGAGGAGGACTTCAGCCTGGACTCTGTGGAGGTGTGGGCCGTGGGGAAGCCCCCAGAACCACAGGAGGTCAGAGGACATTCTTTCTTTCTTTCTTTCTTTAAGACAAAATAGAGGAAATAAAGTCAGGGGATAATGTGGTTTATCAGAACAACTGTTCAATTGATTATTTATCCTGCGGAAGTCATGAAGGAGCCATTCTTCAGTAGAAGAAGTCGGTGCAAGAGTGATTATCTTATCTGTCCTGTATTTCACTCTCACTCTGTTTCTGCTTTCACTCCTGAATGACCCTACGTCATCAAGGTCCCTGTTATCTTATCTTAGTTCTGGACTTTGTCGAAGTAATAATATGCAGAGGTTGATGCTGTGGGTGGGGACGGATGGAGCAGCAGCAGGGCCCTCTGCTGGGGGGTGAGGGGCTGACAGGGGCTGGGGGACGGATGTGGGAGTGAGACAGACACAGGCGCACCAATGGCTGCAGCATCTTCACAGTCAGGAGGAGCAGACCTTAGTATGACGTATATACTTTATATTTATTTCTACAGTTTGTCACGCACTGAAGTCCATATTCAGTGGAATCAAAAGAAAGGGAATGAATGAATCCAAAAGAGAATGCAGAAGCTCTGATCTGGGTTCCCCTCTTTGTTTATGAGTGACAGGTGAAAGACACAGGTTTGGCCAGGATAAACATTCTTCTTCCTTATTTCTTTATTTTCCATTTTGGAGAACAAGTTGGAATGAAGTATTGTCAGATCCCTTTTTAGATGTAATGTTTTGAATAGTTGTATTCATTTGAGCCACAAGAGGCTTATGTACCTTAGTTCTAAACTGAAAACAATAAATAAATGGTTGTCCATGCCACTAGCTCCTTTTCAAACATTTGATTTGACCTTTATTCTCAAACGTGTGTAAAGTCAGAAACAACAAAGAGAACACAGTAGAGGTCAGTTTTCCTTTCTTGCCTCTGTGGGCCTCCATAGCAGAACATCAGGCCTCCATAGCAGAACATCAGGCCTCCATAGCAGAACATCAGGCCTCCATAGCAGAACATCAGGCCTCCATAGCAGAACATCAGGCCTCCATAGCAGAACATCAGGCCTCCATAGCAGAACATCAGGCCTCCATAGCAGAACATCAGGCCTGTGACTGCCGGCACCACCTATAGGGCCTCTGTGGGCCTCCATAGCAGAACATCAGGCCTCCATAGCAGAACATCAGGCCTGTGACTGCCGGCACCACCTATAGGGCCTCCATAGCAGAACATCAGGCCTCCATAGCAGAACATCAGGCCCGTGACTGCCGGCACCACCTATAGGGCCTCTGTGGGCCTCCATAGCAGAACATCAGGCCTGTGACTGCCTGCACCACCTATAGGGCCTCCATAGCAGAACATCAGGCCTGTGACTGCCTGCACCACCTATAGGGCCTCTGTGGGCCTCCATAGCAGAACATCAGGCCCGTGACTGCCGGCACCACCTATAGGGCCTCTGTGGGCCTCCATAGCAGAACATCAGGCCTGTGACTGCCTGCACCACCTATAGGGCCTCCATAGCAGAACATCAGGCCTGTGACTGCCTGCACCACCTATAGGGCCTCCATAGCAGAACATCAGGCCTGTGACTGCCTGCACCACCTATAGGGCCTCCATAGCAGAACATCAGGCCTGTGACTGCCTGCACCACCTATAGGGCCTCCATAGCAGAACATCAGGCCTGTGACTGCCTGCACCACCTATAGGGCCTCCATAGCAGAACATCAGGCCTCCATAGCAGAACATCAGGCCTCCATAGCAGAACATCAGGCCTCCATAGCAGAACATCAGGCCTCCATAGCAGAACATCAGGCCTGTGACTGCCGGCACCACCTATAGGGAAGCGTTTCCTTCAGACTATAAACAGTTACACTTGAGATATCTCTGTATTTGTTGTGTTTCAGGGCGAGGAGGGACAGGGCAAAAGGAGTATCCTGGATATGGACCCAGAGGCCCAGGCCATGATGGAGATGACGGGGAAGACTCTGCACAGTCAGGGCCTCAGGGAGCCGGAGGAGGATCAGGAACAGTGAACCATGTCCCGTCCACCTGGTGCTCACACAAACTTGGATTTGTCACATGACAACGCTTGATAACATTTATATCTCACCTAAAGACAAGTGTGCAGTATCAAATATAGTGATATCAGAGGTGTTCCCCTGCCTTTCATTTAGCAACAAGCTGTTTTGAATAACACAGCACTGAAATCATTCTCTTGTTTACATGGATCAGCTGTTACATATGGGGTTGGCTATGGAAGATGTCATTAAGACCAGGCTAACAATGCCTAACGAAGTCTAAAGGCTTCAAACTGGTCTTTAATGTCAGTGCAGAAGGAGCAATGATGTATGGGTGTGATATAATCATCTCCATTCTCTTCTCATTCAAACTACTGAGGAAAGTAAGCACAGCAAAACTGAAGGTTACACCACTGATAGCCATGTTAAATAACAGTCAATATAAAACATGGATCTGTCCTGAACGTGAGCCCATTTTAAGAAAAGTCTAATGAAATGCTGTTTGGCAGAAGGTTTTTGGGAGACAGAACCTGACACGGGCCTGTTGTCAGTTTCATGGTGAACATGTGTTGAATGATAACATCCTTATGATCAGTTGAACTGTCTGAGAAGTTTAGGAGTGACTCAGGGAATGAGTCCACTACCAGAGAAGAGGTTGACTGTTTATCAGTTATTCCTTCATCGCTCCTCAAACTGACCAATAGAGGAATGCCTGTGACATGTGTCACAGTGACAGACTGTGTTGTGTATGCAGATGTGATGCTGTGCCTTTTATTTTCTCATTGTAGTGGTTCAGGTTTGAATATCAAGTACAACTAACTGAGGACTTGCAGCAGATCAACATGTGTTATGTAATGAACAAACGCTTGCAATACAGTGAAGAAGCAGGCCAGTTTATCACAGCTCAGATGTAACACCTATATATTTATTGTTTATTTATCAAATATATTGATTGAGTATATCAAAGAAACAGAATAACGTGTGGTGGAAGAGTGGTATCATGGGAGATGTTATATTGAATGCAGTCAGCTCCTCCTGGTTAGGATCCCTTCACATGTTCATCCTTTCAAAAGGTTTTATTAGCCGAGGTCTGTCTCCTCTTGTCAAAAACAAACAGACCCGTGGATAAAAAGCGGCAGAGCAGTTTCACGTTATAAAGTGTTTTTATCCCGGCACTGGCTGCTGCTAAAGCTAGCTCAACTTGCTTTGCTAAAGACTTAAAACAACCAAGAGATACAAAAAAGTCTAAGAACAATTCTGGCTCACAATTTGATAACATGGTGACAGCTTCTGGCAGACAATCGCAAGGCTGAGGTTAGCTTAAAGGGGATTGGCTATTACAGGAGACAATATGAAACTGACCTTAGCTTTATTAAAATATAAGATTTCTCCTGGTTGGAAAATGCTTTGAAACATTTGGTATAATGTGAAAACACAACCCTAAAAATTATATCCAAAACTTAGGTCTAGTGAATTCATATATTTATCTGTTTGCTGACCAATTCAAACTCTAAAATATCTGCAGGACATACTCACATAATAGATCAAATCATGATTATTACCTCTTACTATAATTACAATTGTCGTAATATAGTGATTCAACTGGATGTAGGATTTTGTGTGTGTGTGTGTTTTGAAAACATTGTTTCAGTGAATAAAGGAAACACTGCCCCACTGGCTGGAAGGCAGAGCTGCTGGCTGGTGGTTCTCAGCTCAGTGACGACATGTATCTTCATCTGATCTTGTCTGACTTTGAGTTGTAAAAGTTGACATGAAAATAAATGAGTGGATCTGAACTAATCCAAACCTGCTCTGAGACTGAAAGGCTGCTCTGTATCTGTATTAACACCCCCCCCCCTTCTGTTCCGCTAACATGCAAATTACTGAGGCAAGTTCCACATGCAAATGTCTTGTATAATCTTACAGAAATGCACACAATGGCACGGTGGACATGGTTTCATGAAGAATGTTTGTTCTTGTCTTAATATTTGTGTATGGAAATTATTTTATTATTTTATTCCCAGAAATGTGAATACATTTGGAACTTGGATCACATTGTATGCACCTTTTCCATCCCAGATACATACAAAGGGTATATTTATAGATTTTATAATTGTATATTTGAATTATGTATTTATTTTAAACACTTACATTTAACCATGATAACTGTAATTCAGAGAAGAATATTTTATTAAAGTTGTTTTGACTTATCTGTACTGACACAGATGCAGCAGTGCACACTGCAGCATCAAGGCTGAAGCACATTATTCCTAACACTCCAGTGGTATCAATGACACAGAAAGGGATCATTCTGCAGCATAACACATATTATATTTCACACTTTAAGTACATAATGCGTATACAATGTCGCACTTTAACTTAAGTAAGGATTTAAAAGCAAGATGACTAGTGTAAAGAAGCAGGTTATTTTAGGAGCCTTAGTAGGCTATAGGATCTGAATATTGAATAAAGAGTCATATATTCTTACATTTTCTCTACCATTCTTACTTTTAAATGTATAAATGAGGTTGCTTCAGGTTATTGGAATAATTATATGGACCAGTGGTGTAAAGTAACTATAGTACTACTGTACTTTATAAAAAAAAGTATTGTACTTCTACTCCACTACAGTCCAGAGGTAAATGGTGTACTTTTCCTCCACTACATGTATTTAATACCTTTAGTTACTTCACAGATCTGGATGAATGATGTGAAATCTAATCAAGTGTTAAATCAGACTTTAGTTCCACCTGGAGTAAATCCACAAGCTACCCTGCAGTATACAAAGTCATTCAAACTAGCTGCACCTTTACCAGCTTTGAGAACACTTTCATGATCAATCATTATAAAACATATCATATATATTATTCTGAAATGGACCAATCTGCACAACGACTACTTTTACTGTCGCTACTTTCACTAGATTTTGATGAGAATACTTTTATACTTTTACTTGAGGAACATTTTGAATGCAGGACTTTTACTTTTGGTACTTTCAATATATTTTGAATACTTTTGATAATACCTTTGTACTTTTACTAAGTAACATTTTGATTGGAGGACTTTTACATGTAAAAGAGTATTGACTCTGGTAGGCTGCTTCTACTTTTACTAAAGTACAAGATCTGAGTACTTCTCAACCTCTGCTGGTAGTTCTATTAGTTAGAAGGTGGTTGTGAATACTTCTTCATCCAGTAATAAAGGATGAGAGTAGTTATTCTTTAATTTCCCTTACCATATAGGCCTACTTTTCATTTTATGAGTGGAGTTCCTTCAGGCTATAGGAATAATTCTGAGGAGCAGTTTAAAGGACATGAGGAGTCCTCGCCCGCAGATTGAGAACCACATGTCAGACTGACAGCGAGGTGCTCCATCACAGGGCTGACACCATGTTCCTCTGTATGAATGTGTTCTTAGCCGAGAGCTCTGCAGTGCCACAGGCACAGTCATGACTCGTTTGCATAGATACCGTCCCTGCTTCCGGTCCTTTTTTTTATAACTTGTCGCTGTGCATATATTGCAAGTGAACTTTTACTTCCTTGTACACAGATAGAGGAACTGGCCGGTTTGCGGCTGGCCTTTTTGTCAACACTCTACATCCTCTGCAGCTCCTTTCATGACTTTCAAACCATGATCAGATAGAAAAGAAGCGGCAACAGAGCTGAAGGACCACCTCACACAGGTCAGACTTTACTTTGTTATATCACAATGATAAGTGAGCAGCAGCGGGTCAACTGCTGCTGCTGGAACCGTTCGAAAAGAGGAGAGAAAACCCGCAGCATATGTGTGTGTGTGTGTGTGTGTGTGTGTGTAGTAGGCTACTACCGGTTCCACCGGAGTCGGAGGTTTGCTGGTTTCCCCATCACACTCACATCTATCCTCACATGTTGCTGTGGCCTAATGCTGAATACGGATTTTGACAGTGGTTGAAAGTAACTGAGTACATTTAATTAAGTACTACACTTAAGTACAATTTTAAGGGACATGTACTTTAGTTGAGTATTTCCATTTGATGGTACTTTCTTCTTCTACTCCACTACAATTCAGAGGTAAATGGTGTACTTTTACTCCACTACATTGATTGAATACAGGTAGTTACTTCACAGATCTGGATGAATGATGGTAAATCTAATCAAGTGTTAAATCAGACTTTAGTTCCACCTGGAGTAAATCCACCAGCTACCCTGCAGTATACAAAGTACTTCAAACTAGCTGTGTAGAAAACATTTATATATTTATTTCTTATCATGCCATATTTGAAACATATATTGTAGGGCCATATACCTATATAAAGTATATACATATATTTGTTCAAAATACCAAACAGATCCTGCATTTTAGCCATGCCTCATTTTGCTCTATTTGCTCTTTCCAGCCCTGTTTTTGCAGGGGGCTGATTCTGTGAGCTGCAGCTGATCACGCCCCCCTGCAGGAGAGGGGAGTTGGCAGTTACTTTGGCATTAGGGCAGGGATATGTCGATACTTTCCAAGGTTTGACATAATGAATTGTGCAAGCAACGATGTTGTCAAATCTGTAATCAAAAAGCTCCTCAAAAACACTATCGAAGCAGTTCCTGCCACTGCTACGTTAGTACAAACAGTAACAACGGACTATTTTTCTTAGCGGATGCATGTCAATTTAAATCAATACAACTATTTTTTAAATCAATAAAATCATTTTCTAAATCCATAAAAGCATTTAAATTAATATTGGGAGTCATGTTGTTACTTTGTTGATAATGTGGCCATGTAATAAGAGGGTTAATGTGCAGCGACTTGGTCATTATGGGGAAAAGAACACAGGCAGGCAGACAGGCTGATCAGGAACCCGACGCTTGCCTCGGGGAGGGAGAAAAAGAGCCACAGCGGAGAATAAACAGAAGGGCAACCATGGCAACCATGCAAGGGAAGTCTTCTTCGCTGCTTTTGTGGCAGACTACAGCGCCACTTACAGGCCTGGCATATGTACTACAGCGTCTCCAGCGCTTTCAAGCGGCAATGGCCGGCCGTGGCCCAACCTCTCATTCCCCTGATAGGTGGAGAATTGACCAATAGCCGTAGCACCACCGTCCTGACGTCAGGACAGTGTTCAAATCTGGATCAGTCTGTATCAGATCCGTTGCAGCCCCTTTTTTAGAGATTTGGGTATGGAGGAAAATAGAGAGGGTTGTGTTTTCTGACACTTGGTGAGTTCCCTGACACACCGGGGACACATATTCATGTATAAAAGACGTACAAAAGTGCATTTTCTATGATAGGTCCCCTTTAAGGTAATTCCCTTTGAACAAAAAGGGCTTGGTATGAATAACCCATTTTACTTAAAGGGGACCTATCACCCAAAATGCACTTTGTGATGTCTTTTATACATAAATATGTGTCCCCGGTGTGTCGGGGAACTCACGCAGCGTCAGAAAAATAAAACCCTCTCTCTTTTCCTCCGTACCCAAATCTTTTAAAAACAGGGGTACAACGAGCGGATACAGATTTGCTGCCGATCTGACGACAAATCGGCAGCGGACCCACAGAAAATTGCTATCAGAAACAATGCCTGACGTGTTTTGGACGTAATCTCATCTTTGTTTACATTAGCAAGCCTCGCTAACACTCAGAGCTAACCTGTACTGGAGAGCACATGTGTTTTAAAAAGCATGACATATAAAAAGGAACTCACCTTGTGGTAAACCCGCAAGAGAAAAAGCATTCGAGCTCCATACTGTTTCAGAAATAATCCTTGATGTGGTTTAGAACAGGATGGCGTTTTATCACAGCAGAATTTAACTTTATCTCCGGTAGAATTCTGATCAGGCGTTAGCTCCGCCTCTTCTTTTTTTTCAAGCTAAGGACCCAAATTCCACGTTTCTCTAACAGGGCTGCAAAATAGGGGTTTGAGAAGTATGAGGCATGGCTACAATGGGTGAACTGTTTGGTATTTTAAGCAAAAAACTTCACAGACAGCCGTGACTTTTATACCTAGGCCCTCTGACCCCCACCCCTTCCCTCGAAAAAAAGAAAAAAGAGTTATTACGTCACAGCGTATACTTCGGCGGAATATCAAAACAACGGCCCGGGGTGCAAAGCGCATCAATGACAGCGACCCTCTACCACACAAAACAACACCTGTAAATAATCCAATTTGTGTTCTTTGAAATTGAAAAGGATATTGCATTGTGTTACTTTCATTGCAGTTGTATGTCTTCAGTGTAATTTGGCATGCTTTTATTTTGAAGGTGAGTTTACGCTGTTGGAATGAAGTTGTCGTTGCTATGGAAACAAGAAAACTTCACAGCGGGCGGAACTTGTCATAAAGTCCGCGATAATAAAACCCACCCATTTAGAGGGAAGATATGATTGGTCAATTGTACTGTCATTTGACATTACTCTCTCATTGAGTTACTGTAGCTGGCCCTCTGTGAATTTACAGCAGGACCACCAATCAGCTCCTATCTTCACAGTTACTTGCAGAGACGGCTAAAGGAGCTTCTTTCATTTAACCCTTCACATTCCAACAGAAACTGAACAGGCAGATTCGAAGGATTTATTTCTGTGGAAATGTTTTTTTAATTACAATTAAATCAAGTTATTTTGGTAAAACTAATGAAAAATATAACAAAAAATATATATATATATATTTGTAATGTTTTTAAATATTATTTTGTAGAATATCTTAGGACTTCAGAGAGGGCCTGAGGGCCCTGACGGCTCGCCACTGTTCACAGACATGTTTTGGCCCTACAATATATGTTTCCAATATAGCATAATAGGTCCACTTTAATATTTAATAAAACTCCTCATTTATATACTGTATGTTGTATCAGTTATAAATG